TGCCATGAGGGGAAGCAGCAGGCTAGTCTGGGGCTACGTGGGCTGTGGTAGTGGCCCATTGACACGGGAACCAGGGGCAGCCGGGGCCCCCGGCCGCCCTGCCCCTTTTAAGAGAAGTGCAGAATTCACGCCACCCGCAGGCTCCCTCCCACCCCCGCAGAATAGATCCTGCCCAAGAGGTGCTGCAGTTACACCCTTCACCCACCAGGGGCTGCTGTGGGGCCAGAACTGGGCAGCCGGCTCACACCCACAACAGCCAGCCATCTGGAGGGCGCTTTGGCTTTGCCCTCCCCTCACTTCTGTCAAGTTTCTAGTGCCCCTGCCATGGCCCCAGGTCTGAGCTTGGACCAGGGAGGCCTCACCCAGTCACATCAGTCCCGGGGCCCCTGCTGGGGGTAGGAGCAGTTTAACTGGTCCATCTGCCCTAGGCAGGTTTCAGAGCCACCCCCAGCAGGATCTGCACCCGGAGCCAGCTGGGGCTATGGGAGAAACCCAAGTCTCACCCAGCCATGGAGGGGAGGTGCCACGTGGCCCCTGCCCTGCTCACCTGGTAATAGTAGTCATCCAGGTGAGGATTCTCGCTCTGCAGCTGCATCATCTGCACCTTGATCACCCAGTCCTTCTCCTTGCACGTCATGAGCCCGGCATAGGGATCTGCCTTTGGGGACCATGGCTTTTTGGGGGAGACGCTGCAAGGCAGGAGCCGCCCCCCAGTGTTACTCCCTGGGGACGCAGCCTGGGGCAGCACCCCGCCACTCCCAGTGGTTCGCACCCCATCAATTGATGGCCTAACGAGAGAGGAATCCGTATGGGGAGGCAGGGAGGGCCTGGGGCACAAGGAAATGAAAGGCCTCTGGTTGAGAGGGTTTTCTGGCTGCTCCCCCTCCAGCCTGTGCTGTGCATGTGTGACCCCCCGCCCCCCCCCCCTCCACTGGCCAGGATCATTGCAAGGCAGCCTGGGGGTCCATAACCTCCTACACACCCACCAGCTGGGATCATGGCAAGCCAGTAGGGGGGGTCCATAATTCCCACCCACCCACCCACCGGTTGGGATCACAGTAGATCACAGGTACAAACATCCAGGAGGAGACAGCTCAAGCCTGCTTGCCCAGGACTGGCATTCACGAACTAGTGCCATCTCTTAGGGGCGCAGCTGCCCCACAGGCCCCTCGCTTAAGCTCCAGGGAAAGCCTGGAGAAAGTCCCAGAAAAGCAGCACAGCCTAGAGACAGCAGGGGGCAGCATACAGTGAAATGTCTGGGCCCCCCACCCCCTGTCCCGTCCCCAGGCTGCACCCACACACCAGGAGCACCAGGCTCAGGTCCGTAGCCACCTCGCCACATGCTGCTGGGCCCCCCAGTCCCTTACAGCAGCCCCCAGCCCGGCTCACCTCTGTGCCTGCCCTCGCTGCTGCTGCTGGGTCAGGATCCGCTGGTGCTGAGGGTGCAGCTGGGTCATGTGGCTGGGCACGCTGCAAGGAGAGGCAGTCGCGGGTGAGGCCAGCAGCAGGACCAGCTGATGGGGGGCATGGCCATGAAGATGGCTGGGGGCAAGCATGGAGCAGGAAGGGCGGCTCGCCC